AGAGAGAGAGAGAGAGAGAGAGAGAGAGAGAGAGAGAGAGAGAGAGAGAGAGAGAGAGAATAAGGACCATTAAATAAATACAGATTCAAGCACAAAGTTTCTACTCAGACTGGAAACTTCCCTCTGGAACTGGATCTTGGACTTCCTGTTGACAGATCAACGTTGATACCAGGATGTCCAGCTCAAACATACTGAGCACAGGAGTCCCTCAAGGTTGTGTTCTAAGTCCTCACTTTGCTTACGCATGACTGTGCTGCTAAAATCAGCACAAACCAGCTCAATAAAATTGTATTTTCTCATGACCAACAGTGGTGGGACTCAACAACATGCAGTTTAAAGCTTGGGATTTCACATGGCCCAGTTTGGAATTTTCACAGCTTCCCAGAAGGGAAGCAAAAAGTCTGTCCAGTTGTTCTGTTTTTGGAAGCCTGTTTTAAGCTATACCATTCTGGTTCCAAGAATGGTTCTGGTTCTCATTTGCAGGACACGATAATTGAGATTTGCATAAAAATGAATGAAAAGCACCATCTAGCAAACCCATTAACTATAATATCACATATAATCACATTAAAATCTAAGTTTCTAACAGGTGTATCTATAATTCCATTATATTTAATTTGATTTAAAACTGAGCATTATTCTCTGCTGCCTCTCATAATACAGCTTGCTTGGAATCACAGTCACATCATTTTAGGCCAATAAAAGTTGAGTTTTCAAACTGGCCTTAACCATAGCTAGCATTTTACCAGACTAAGTGATAAATCTCCAAATCTTAACAAACTACATATAATTTTGAAACTTTTGAGATTTAAAATATTAACTCACTATTAAAAAAAAAACGTCATTGTGACTCATTTTCCAATCATATCATCTGACTCTTTACATGGATCTATAATCTTAAATTAAAATTCTAAATAAATGATAATAATTGGAATATTTTTCAGAGTGCCTAAAGCCTCTTCTGTGATTGTTGTCTGATAACAATGAAGTATAAAAGTAAGCTTATGTTTGTGTAAAGAGGAAGTAAAAAAAAACAGAAATCGTATAGCACGTTTGTAAAGGCGTTTGTATTCACTTACAGTAGGAGCATCCATAAACTTCTATCCGGAGACCGATGCGCCCCTCCTCACTCCAGGCCAGTGGGATGAGCCTCAGGAAGCGAGTCACAATTCCCTGCTGCAGCTCATGGCGAACTGCGCTCTCTGAGTTGGAGTTTCCAGAGAAGGCCTGCAAAAACRATCGGCCGTTAAATGAGAGGCAAAGACACACACATGCACTCACACATTGCATCAATCTATRACTCCAAGATACAAACTGATATAGTAAACAAAATATTTAATGAGTCCACACATGTGCCCAYCACAGTCTGACTGTGGAGGATATTAGAAGGAAAGAGCTTATCACATTAACAGTGCATGTTTATGTCACATTATGTTTTATTTTGGGTTCCAAATCATTAATCTTGCTATATTAACACTGTTCAGCCAGAASAGTGCCCCAGTGCTAGAAATATAATAACAATAARCAGTTGGGTGTTTATTTATGTGGAAATCATCTAAAATAGAAAAGAAACTAGACTATGATAGAGACCAATGAAATCTGTGGWATTTTTGTGCTTTAAAAGCACACCTAAGGTGTTACTGTGGCCAAAAAAAGTTACCATATAAAATATTTAGAATAAATGTTTTTTTTCTGAAGTGATGAGCATGCCTCCTGGTGGCTTAAGTTGAGTTGATACCAGTCTAAATGGGATGAAGGTAAGTGGGTGTTGTATTATCTTGACTTGCCATGTACCAATAATATCTTATGATCTGTTAACCTTTATGTRGGTTTATTCAAGCACATTTTTTGTGCTGCTGCCAATCAGTCTGACACACTCTGCAGCTCTTGATGAGATTAAACACAAAAAATCACTAGAATTAAGAAAAACACAAAGAAATTTAAAGGTGATGCAAAAAGCCTGCTGTAAAAAAAAACACATTAAAGTGCCTCAAAATATATGATTATGTTTTTCCTGTTGCTACTTTAGTCGACGTAACAGAGAAGATGCTGCTGGTGGGACTAACAGTGATGGTGACAACAGAGATGAGGGTGACAGGCACTGTAACACAAAGCAGCATAAGCGTCCCATAAAGACCAGGCAGGGAAAACAAAAGTGACACGAAAAGGTTGACAAAAATGACAAGGCTTGTTTGGCTTGCTTTATGACGACGTAAGATGATGCCGCTAAGGGACACACGGGGAATAATAAAGAATAAATGYAGCTCCTTTTTACAAATTGTTTGTYTTTTAAACCTTAGATTCTTAMAGGTAACTTAACAGTTATGTCCAGATAGACAATGGCTTCCATGTTGTCTGACATTCAGTTTATGTGATCGTTAAATTTGGTCACACACTGTAGTACAAAGAAAGTGACTTCCCATACAAAAAGTACTTAAGATAATATTTACATGTATTAATCAAGCTGTTGGCATTTGTTTAGAAAATGTCTGTAAAATGTTTTTAAGGCCAAATGTAAAACATACTGCTATTAAGTTTTGTATTTTTACTGTTTAGTTTCGTTTTGTGGTAACGTTTTCTTTTGCGGTACCCTTATTACCATGCAATTACAAGGTAATAAAAATGGTAATAACTGTAATTACTACCTTATTACTATGTAATTACGTGGTCATTAGGGTACAATTTTACCATGTAATTAATTGTCTGCAGTAATGTAACACTTACCTGGTAATGAATTACAATTTGTGTAACAACTAAATAAGTAGTGGGTAATTTGGACAGTTTTAAAGTTATATTTTATTGCAGTTAACCACTAACCCCAAAATTTAGTTGCATTCTTTTGGTTATAAATATAGTGTTGAGTTACTATTAAATAGTAATTTGATTGTAATTACCCAATAAAGGTAGTTTTACTAACAGTAGTTTTTCTTTTGTACCCTAATTACCACATGCTTACATGGTAATAAGGTAGTAATTACCATTTAATTACATTTTTATTATCTTGTAATTACATGGTAATAAGGGTACCGTAAAAGAAAGCATTAGCAGTTTTGTTTCAGTTTCATATAAATTTTATTCAACATTTGAGTGTTGGTACTCTATATGCTCCACATCGAGCCATAGAAATATAGTATAAYGATTGGTTATGATCAGCTGCCCTTGCTTTCAGCTCATCAATGGTTCCCTCTTGTCCATTTTGGTGTTACAGCCGATTTCTCATGAGGAAGTTGGAACACGGGCTTCAAAGTTGTTTCACAGTCAAACTTGATGTTGAGTTTCAAAGATTTTATAGTTCCAACTAGGGATGCACCGAAATGAAAATTTAAGCCAATATCGATACACAAAATCGATAATACTGTTTTGGCTGATAACTGATATTTACAGATACATACAAGGGAAATCTTTTTACAATATTGTAAAATATGACCAGACCGCTGATATGACTGTCTACTTCAGTTGTTCCTGGCTGTGCAGCATCAACATCTTTATCATGATCAAATGGATACTGCTCGGTCAACCATTCCCCCTTCCCAAAACAGAAACACAAACAACAACAAGTGGGAAATCGTTATCGGACAATAACATTGGCTCAGTTTTACTTAACGAACCGATACCGATGTGCTGAAAAATGACCAACATCGGCYGATACTGATGTTAATGTCGATATATTGTGCATCCCTACATCATTCCTACATAAATCACTTTCTCTGGGCTTGTGATTTCAAATGTGTCAGGCTTTGCCTGGCTTCATTCATAAAAGTTTTTTACCAATTTCCATCAGAATGTCCTGGTTTTCCAACATGTGATGAACATTATATTAGGTATTTCTTGTTGAGGTAGAAGCACAATTTGATTRTCTCATAGGCCACCATCTCCTGTCACCAACTGATTTTTTTTTTTTGTTTAAGGGCTTGATCAAGTTGATTTCTGGTTGCTTCCTAAACTTTTCCAGCACAAAGCCTTGAAACCTAATTTCTCACAAATGCCAAATCTCGTTTTGCACATTACCTCTGACTCTAAAACCATAAATGCCAATAATCAGACAAAAACAAGGGCTTTTAAGTAAAGATGACAAACCAAAAGATGATGTCATAGTGGCTACATCCATTTCTCATGCGTAACCTATGATTAGGACATGTCCAGATTGTTTTATATTCATCCCAGTTTGACAGCACAAGTTGTCTTTATGTGTTGTTTCATGCATCGTTGCTGTAAGTGGATTGGATGCCAGATCAAATGAAAGGCTACCGGAGTGAATCTCCTGACAGCGTGTTCAATCTTGGGTTTTGATTTATATGACTTTGGAGTTTTGTGGTGTTGGTGGTTACGAAGCAATGGTTGAACATGTGACTGATGGGTTCAAATCCTGCTAAAATGTTTTGTTTTTACAAAGTGGAAAAGGCAAAACAAGATGGCATCGTTCTGTGGGAAGAAAAAGAGAACATTCTCAAAAAATACTGCGCCAGATTCATTGTGACCTTTTCTCTCTTCGCCATCTTCTTTTGACTCAACACATGATGGAAGAACCTCTTATTGCCCACTAATCCACCTCACCCCCAGTCCCTGAACTATTTTCACTTCTGTGCTTTTCCCTCCTCTGTGAAATAAACATGCACACAACAGCCTGCTCCCTGAGCCATTCATCTACACACATATGCACAGAGCAGTTGGTGTAAACCATTGGGGAAAAGTATCATTAATAACAGAGTAGGTAACTAGAGGAGAGCAATACACTAGACAACCATGTGTTATTTCAGATAAGACATGGAGTGGGCAGGGCAGAGGATGAGTGTGGCAGGAGAGAAAAACTGCTCTGACAGTTGGCTTTGACCTGACTCTTCGGTGACCCAAGAATGTACCCCTGAAGATATGTTATCTGCAAAGGAAGAGACGGTCAAGAGTTCACAGTAAGCTCAGAGCCGCTGAAACAYCCACTGTTCCTCACTTTTATTTTTTAATCCTTACCTTTTATCTGGGAAAGGTTAACTGAAAACACAAACTGTTTTATTAGCATCCTGCCTCAGATTTACAAAGCTCCACATGAGTCATCACGTAGCCTTTTGGAATACTTTGACTGCAGCTTCTACTCTCTGCAGGTGCTCACATCCTAGAGATCTGGGTTAAGTGACTTACTCAGTGGTAGTACGGTGTTTTTGAAGAGGGTTGCAACACTCAGAGAGTACTGTAAGAATGTCACCAACAGTGGAAAAATAAGTGTGCCTGCTGGTCATGTGGCAATCAAACCTTTTCAGAGAAAAGACCATGTTCTCATTTGTTATTAATAAATTTCTTTCTTATTTCTGAGCAATATATATATATA